ATGATGTTGTGGGCGCAGTCAATGTTGGCCCTATGGAGCCCGTCGCCGAATAGCACCGCGAGGGTTATGACCCCCTCGGAATCAATAGTGTCTCCGGTGAAGCCGGAAAGAGGGGTCTGGATGGGCCGAAGGGACTCCCTCTCCAGATGCAGCTCCTTGAAAGTGTTGAGGTACATTATGTTGACGAAGCTGCCTGTGTCAATGTAAGTCCGGTGGATGATGGTGTTGCTGATCTCACTTTGTATTACCAGCGCATCCCTGTGGGGAGAGGAAACAAGGGGGAGATCCACGTTGGTGAATGTGATGGGTTCCTCCCTTAATCGTTTTACGGGGGGCATATGAGATACTTCCCCAACGTAAAGGGATTGTGCCCACTTCTTCCTCTGGCTCGTGGAGTCTCCCCCTGTGTTGCCGCCGGTGATCATGAGGATATGGCGTTTCCTCAACTGGTAGTGGTGGTGTTCCTCCTCCTATTCTTCAAGATTCCCGATCTCCCTTTTCTTACCCTTGGGATCACTGAGGGGGATGGTGTTCGGGTTGACCCAGGCATTTGCCCTCACCGGTGGCCCTCGTGGGGGCCCTTGGCGCTGAGGGTTTTGGATAAACTGGGACAGATGGCCCGCCTATTAACCTTTCGATGGCCGTCTTCAGCTGATGGCAGTCATCGGTCCTGTGCCCTTGATTACGATGAAAGCGACAGTACGGTTCATTGGGGTTGACAGCATATACCTCCAAAGGTGCGCGGGAGTCACGTTCCACGAGGCCCCTCTCTTCGGCGAAGTCGAGGATGACGCCGACGGGGTGTGTTAAAGGTGTCTGAGGGTGTTCCAGGAGGATGGGCTGTGCCCAAGCCTTCGGGTTATTTTTGTAACCTCCCCCGGGTTTGGCTTGGCCATGCCGGGGGCGATCACCCGAGGGAGTCGGGCCTTTGGATTGATGGGATGGAGCCCCAGCCCTCGGCTGTTCCGGTCATCTGGCTGGGGGCGCTGCTGCTCGGGGTTCTGGCGACATTTCTCTACCTCCTCGGCCTCTGCATACCTGTCCCCCCGCTGGAGGACCCTTATATAATCGCGAGGGGGTTCAATGATGAGGCTCCTTAAGAAATTCCCGGTTCGGAGGACCGTCTGTAGGAGATCCAGAAGGGTCCCATCGTCGGCTCCGTCAACTTTTTCTGTTTCCAGCCTCCAGCGTTCCAAGAAATCCCGGAGGGTCTCCTCCTTCCTTTGCCTCACCGTTAGCAAATGGGAGAAGTGTTTTCTTGACCAGCGCCTTCCCGCAAACTGTGTCAAGAAGCGCTGGGCGAGTTCTTGGCACGAGTCAATGCTACCTTCGGGCAATCGGTTGAACCATTCGTATGCTGGTCCTTCTAAGGTGGAAAGGAACCAACGACACAAATATTCATTCGATGCTCCCACCATCATCATGCTGTTTTGGTATCTATTGTAGTGCTCCTGGGGGTCAGTCTTTCCTTCGTAGGGCTTGATGGGTTGCCCTCGGTACTTTCCTGGAATCTGGGCCGCCAATACCCTTGGGGTAAATGGCGTTCGAGTTCGGAGTTGGATGACGGGTTCCTCGGAGCCTTCGACAAATTTTCTTTGCATCTCCTCCATCTTTGCTAGCATGGCGGTGTATTTGGGGTCCGTTTGTGAAGCGGAAGCGGTTGTGTTGGCCTGGCGGGCCTCCATCTCATCAATGCGGCGTTGGAGGGCCGCGATGATCTCGTCCCTGGGGTCCTTCGGGAGGGCCTCCGCCCCCCGCAAACGGACACGGGCCGAGTGGGCCTGGTTGATTTGGTGCCTGGCAACGTCGACATGGAGTAGTCCCTTACCTTTGTCCTAAGGGAGACGTCTTTCGTCTTCTCTTGAAACGGATCCCCCGCTCTCTTGGGGTCTTTGGAACGCCTTTCCACCGAGGCGGTCTTGGACCCCTCGGCGGCCTTGAATCCCTCCAAGCCGTTCGAGGGCGGAGGTCCTGGGCCTTTCCTTGTTTGCGCCATGGCGGTCCCGGGATCGGACTTCCTGGGAGGCGGTGTCCTGAGCCACGACCCCTTCGGCGTTCCCAATCCGAGGGGTAGGGATCACGAAGGGGGGTGGACGCGGGAGAGGTACAACGCTCTCCCCGACCTGAGGTTCAAGGGGCACCAGAGTGCCGAAGGCACCTGGGTTTTGGGTGAGTGTTTGGATGAAGGCGGAGAATGCCGAGTGCACATCGATAGTGAGGACTGGAGGGCTCACTTGGTTTTGCTCCGGTCCTTCTTTTTGGCCTCGATGCCGAGGCGGGCATCAGGGACATTCTGTTGGATCTGAAGACGCAGGTCGACAGCTGCTTGTTCCAACCCAGCGAGGGCGCCGCCCTCGGGAGCCCTGTTAGAGGCTTCGGGGGCGTCGCCGTCACCGAGGGCCAGGTTCTTGTCCTCATGAGTCTTGGATTGGGCACGAGTTGCTCTCACCATCTTGATATGTGTTTTGCATTTGATGAAGGGGAGGGTTTCTTACTTGATTGTTCGACCTCTCAACGAGAGCACCAAATGATGGATAGTGTACCCGGGGGTAGCTTATCCGAGAGGTTACTGCGGGGAGTAACTAGAGAGAACTCAGAGCAAATAAGTAAGAGAGAGAATGTATTCGATTATGTGAACTTGTTGTTTTTTACAATGGGGAAATGAGCTGCTATTTATAGTAGCAATAAATGCTAGATAGGGACACGTCTCAACAATCTGGTGGTCGAGGGGTCACCTCAACTGGGGTGGCACTGGCACTCGCATGTGGCTGTATTAAATGCGGTGGTTGGATGTGACGTTTGTACTATGTGCGGTGATTCAGCGCATGTGGAGAGGAGATTTTGTCGAGGAAGATTCCTTCGGCTGTAGGTGACAGCCCGAAGGCTCTTCGTACCGGGGGCCTTATAGTGTCGAGGGCTCCAATTGCCGAAGTCTTGGTTCTCAACCCTTTTTTCCTGTGATGTTTCCGATCTCAAATCTGTAAACGGTAGCCTTCGGCCATGTCGCCGAAGGCACTCCCATGTGCGTATGGTGGAGTGCTTAGAGCTTTGTCTTGCTGGGCTTGACCCGCTTGGGCCTGTTAGGTCTGATTGCAGTAGTGGAAGTATGTGGGTTGGGGGTCCCTGGGCCATATACTTCATCAAAAACAGTGCAAAACAGTGTCAAACAGTGTCAAACAGTGTCACAACGGTGTACTCTACAGTAAAGTCAATTTTATTTCCTTAATTTGTGTGAAGTCAAAGTGTGAAGTTTATTTAGGACCGGAGGGAGTATTTTCTTTTGCCTAAGATCTAATTGTTAATCTCTTATCTCCACTCAAATACTCAATTGTTTGGAAAAAATGAATCCAGAACAAGCCATTTGCGAAACTACACAATTGATCATTCAACAATTCTTGGTGTACACCTTCTTATACACATCAGTACACTTTCGTGTCTGTGAGAGTTTTTTTTATCTGTGAATCCCAGTCCACAGACAAAAACAGGCTTGTTTTGTCTGTGAATTTTTCACTTCGCATGATAAAACAGTTGCAGTTATACATCTGCTGCAAAGGTAAGAATCAGTTGTACATGTAATGATCAACAAAAATTCCTTTTTTCATAGACAAAACAAGCCTGTTTTTGTCTGTGGACTGGGATTGATAGACAAAAAAACTGATTCTTAGAAGGTGTAAAAAGGAATTTTTGTTGATCATTACACGTACAACTGATTCTTACCTTTGCAGCAGATGTATAACTGCAACTGTTTTATCATGCGAAGAGCTTCTCCAACAGACCACCAAATCACACACCATTTTGGTGTATTTGACAAAAACTTGCTCCAATAGCTACACCATTCTTCACACCATCTCACCAAAATGGGGGAGGGAGTTTGGGTTTACGCCATATATGGCGCACACCATCCCCTACGCCATATTTTTTTTTAATTTTTTTTATTTCAAATGTGACCCAAACTTTTGGTTGTTATACTTTTGACCCATTTTTAGAATAACAAATTAGGATGTTTTTACTTGGATTGTAATTTGCTGGTCTGATCTGGTCCGGTATGATTTGGTTTGGTCTGGTCTGAACTGATGTGGTCAGGTCTGATTTCTTTGTATTTTTATAACTACTCAAGTTTAGTCGAATCCGGTCTGATCTGATCTGGGACAAATCGCAATCCAAGTAAAAACCTCCTTATAGAACAAGTAATTAAAATTATTAATTTTATAGAAAAAAAAAATTTAAATCACGACAAGAACACTCATATTGAGCTCCGGTCTGATCTGATCATTTGTGGGAACAATTATCAAATTCAGATAACTAAACTAAGAATATTTATTTAATGTATTGCTTTAAGTTTAAGTAGTACTTCATTAATGACGTACAAATTATTATAATATTATTGTAAATATTTAAAATTTATGTGGTTTTAGCTTGTATTTGTGAAATATCGATTATTGTATTTTAATTAGTTAAATGCGTGAAATTACATATTAAAATGGTGTATTTTAGTTTGTATATGTGAAATAATGTGTGAAATGTCAAAATATTAAATGAGGGGTTAATGTATAAATATATGATAATTACATACTTAAATAGAAGAATGGTAAAAAGTTGGTAAAAAGAATAAAAAGAGAGTACTCCTTTTTTGTGTTGAAAATGGTGTAAACTGTTGAAGATAAAATACTGTATGATGTGATGTTTACACCATTTTAGTATAAAAAATGATGTAGACCGTTGGAGATGGCGGAAGTGAAGCTTCCTTCTTAGCCAATCGCCATCTATATTATTACCTCCGTTCCCATTTTAACTTTCAAATGAGTTTGGCACAAAATTTAAGATAGTGGATATTGTGTGGTGGAGAGTTGTGCAGAGGAGAGAGAAATGTGTAAGAAATGTTGTGAACCACAAATTCTTTATCAAAAAGGGAAAGTGGAAGTTTTAATTGGAACGGACGAAAAAGGAAAGTTTGAAGTTTATTTTGGAACGGAGGGAGTATCAAGTTAGAAGAAACACTAATTCCAGCCAGCCTCCAGGTAGAAAAAGTAGATTGCAAATTTTTCATAGAACAACTTGCAAGAGTAGATTGCAAAAGTAGATTGCAAATTTTTCATAGAACAAATTTTTCCAGCCAGCCTCCAGGTAGAAACACTAATTACTTTTTCTTACTATTCCTCTTCCGAATTTCTCCTAATTGCCCCAGTCATTTCGGTTGAATCTTAACTGTTTCTTCAATATCTACTTTTTCCAAGTTTTGTACGTAGATTTCCCAGCCCAAATTTTAACCTTTAGATTCGATTTATTGAATTCTTCAGTTTCCCCATGCTGTTATTCCATGAACGTGGAGATTTATTCCAAGAGTTAAGTCCGAACTCTCCAATCAAGCACCCGTAAATCTTCATTGACATATTTTCAACTTTCTAAGAGAACAATAATAGAGAATTCATACTAAACTTGCAATAAACTTTAGCTTGAGGTATAAGAGTAATCAATTTTAGTAATCTAACAAAACGATAAAAGTAATGAGCGAATTACACATGACCCATCGTTGCAGTAATTTTATATCTGCGAAAAAAGTTCTAACTCCAGATTTAGATTCAGAAGAAAAGAAGATATTAAGCTATCAAGAAGCTTAGCTATCAGATTTAGATCTTACACCATAAAGAAGATAAAAGCTCTAACTCCAGCTTGATTTTAGTTCTCGAATCAGGGAAAACAAGAAAAGAGCAAAAGTAAAGATCGGAACTTTGTCGCGTTCTTTATACAAGTAAACGCCGCCGTTTCGTGCCGCGGGAACCTTTACCGCATGCCGGCCAGATTTCCGGTCCAAACAGAAGCGGAAGTACCGGCCGGTGCCTGGAGCGTCAGAGGCTCAGAGTCGTCCGGGTCATAATCAACGGCAATACCAAACACCCGGTTCTATGTGTCATTAAACCGGCCTTTTTTCTTTAATTTCCCCTAAATGGACCGGATATTCGGGTCAACCCGAACCACTTTTTGCTAACCTAACCAGTCTTTCCGGTCTTCCGTCGATTCAGCCAATCCATACATAAGGGGAACCCAAACCCTCCCTCCTAACTCGGTCTCCTTTGTAATCCAATCTGTCTATGCTTGCAAACGATTCAACCGGACCCGGTAAGTTTCTTTCTTGAACCCGATATCTGTTTTCCCTTATAAATTTGGTTCTTTATGCTTTCTTCCTTCAGAAATCATCAGGAAAATGTAAATAGTCCTGAACTGTTTGGCCTGTTGTAGCTGAGCTCTGCCTTTTCGGGATTTGAAAAGCAAAAGTAGTTTTTTTAAGCCCTAGAATCTTATTGTATTTTGGAAAGATTGGAATTTCAAGAATAAAAAAAGAAATTCTTGAGGACCCTTTATCATGACTTCGAATTTGGAACCCATACCTGTCACTTCACAAAAACACGATCCAGCATGGAAACACTGCCAAATGTACAAAAATGGAGATAGGATACAACTCAAGTGTATATATTGTGGGAAGATATTTAAGGGTGGTGGGATTCATAGGATTAAAGAACACCTTGCTGGTCAGAAGGGTAATGCCTCTACTTGTTTGAGAGTCCAGCCTGATGTTCGGATTCTAATGCAAGAGAGCTTAAATGGGGCTGCAATGAAAAAGAGAAAAAAACAGAAACTTGATACCCAAAATACCCTCCCCCTTGAAGCTATGGCTTTAAGTGAACTGAGCCCTGGTGTTGGGTTGCTTACGGTGGGGGATGCTCTTGAACAAAGCTTTAATGCGTATGGATGTCAAGAAGAGGAAGGGACAAGCAACCAAATGACGGGTAGGAAGAAGAAAGGTAGGATTAGGAAGGCCGGAACGGGTGTAATAACTTGTAAAGAAGTTTTGAGTACCATTGCAAGGCTTAATGACCACGTCCACATGGCCATTGCACGATTTTTACTAGACGCAGGAATACCCTTCGAAGTTGTGAAATCTCCTTATTTCCAACCTATGATCGACTCGATTTCTTCCCAAGAACCTGGGATAACGGGGCCCACTTATCATGAACTGAGAAATTGGATTCTGAAAAGCTCGATTCAAGAACTAAAGTGCGAAACTGACCGCTACTCAAACATGTGGGCGAGGAGCGGGTGTTCTGTTCTGGTCGACGAGTGGACGACTGATGTGGGTAAATCTATAATAAACTTCTCGGTCTATTGTCCCGAGGGGACAATGTTCTTGAGGTCAGTGGATGCGACTGAAATGGTAAATTCTGCCGATTCCCTATGTGAATTGCTCAAGGACGTTGTGGAGGAAGTTGGGGTCAGAAATGTCTTACAAGTAATTACAAGCAACGACGAACGGTATATTGACGCCGGACGAAGGGTAACTGACACTTACCCGACGGTATTCTGGGCCCCATGTGCTTCCCAATGCATCGATATGATGCTTGATGACATCACGAGTCTAGGGTGGGTAAATGAAACCATCGCGCAAGCCAAAACTATATCTAGGTTTATCTATAACAATAACAACATTTTGAATTTGATGAGGCGTCATACTTTTGGGGTTGACTTGGTTGAATTGGGTGACACCAGGTCGTCAACAGATTTCTTGACATTAAAAAGAATGGTAAACATCAAGCATAATTTACAGTCAATGGTAACTTCTGAGGAGTGGATGGAGAGTCCCCATTCAAAGAAGCCTGAGGGCTTTTCCATCTTAGATTTGATCAGCAGTGAGGCCTTTTGGTCAAGTTGCACTTTGATTACACACCTGACAGGCCCACTCTTGAGACTTCTAAGAATAGTCAGGAGCGAGAAGCGGTCTGCAATGGGGTATGTTTATTCTGGTCTTTACCGGGCAAAAGAAGTGATCAAGAAAGAACTTGCTGACAAGAGCGACTATTTAATTTGTTGGAACATTATAGACCATAGGTGGGCCCCACTTCAGCGACATCCTCTTCATGCTGCGGGATTTTACCTGAATCCGAGGTTCTTTTACGGTACGGAGGAAGATGTCCACCTTCACTTGAGGTCTTTGGTGTATGATTGCATAGAAAGATTGGTTCCTGACCCGAATGTTCAAGACAGAATAGTGAAGGAGACTTCTTCTTACCAGAATGGTGATGGAGATTTCGGGCGGAAAATGGCAGTTCGTGCTAGAGATACTCTTCTTCCTGGTGAGTTAGTTTCCTTATTAAAAAATAAAATGTTCTATTCTTTTTCAATATTCCTTACATGAAACAAATATAATGTCAGATGATTGTTCTTGAAAAAAACTTTGAGATTTAACAGAAGTTGCTTAGGCCAAAGTTTACTGTAGGTTTGAACTTTGAAGTGGTAAAATATGGAGTAATATAAAAGCTGACTATCTTGCCAATGTATTGTTTATGGGGGGGTAAACGAGTAAGGGTAGAATTTGGTCGTTACAAAAAAACACGTGAAAATGTTACAAAAAAGCATGCGAGAACAGTAAAATTTGTTTTCCCACCATTCATGAGAAGAAATGATTCCAGGCAGGGATTACTTTTTCATTTTCCGATTTTTACTTTTGTTTACTTTGAATATTTTTATTTTAACAAGGACATTTGTATCATTTGATTAATAGACTAGTAATTTTCATTTTCTCATGAGAAGCATATTTCTCTCCTTATCTTTCACACATCTTTGTCTACTAATCCAAACAAACCATAAGTTTTCCGCCTCATACCCCCTAAACAATCATGTTTGTACTTCCACTTTTAATTGTATAAATAAGGCTTCAATTGCTCCAAAAATACTTCTTTTTTAATCCATTTCAATTATAGGAGATGATGTATGTTGTTTTTAAAGAATTCCATGTTTGATTCATTATAAAAATCTCTCTGATAATTTTTAGTCAATCATTGTAGCTGAGTGGTGGTCAACATATGGAGGGGGGTGCCCAAATTTATCTCGTTTGGCTATTCGCATTTTAAGCCAAACTTGTAGTCTAATTAGTAATAGTGCCAAGCCAAAGCACGCTTCTTTGGATCAGATGCATGAAACCAGTAACTGCATAGAGCATCAGAGGCTTAAGGACATTGTTTTTTTGCAGTACAATTTACACTTAAGGTAAGCCCAGCTGTTCTTTTAAACTTTGCATTCTGGTCCCTGATTTGTTCTTTTACTTTTGGCGAACAAGTGAACAAAAGTAGCAAAACCTCATTTTTCCTGGAATATACTCCGTACAAGTTTTGCTCGGAAGATAAAGAATTTCTCTCTTCTCCAATTTTCATTTACAGGGCACAGAAGGACAGAGAGGATGTTTCTGTGGACCCCATTTCATATGAAAACATACCCTTTGTTAAGGACTGGGTTTCAGAGAGAGAGATATGCTCGGATGAACCGGCTAGTTCAGACTGGATGGCTGTGGACCCGCCTTTGTCTAACGCTATGCTCTTGTCACCTCAAGTTGATGACTTTGAAGCATTGGGTGCAGGTAATTGTAGTTTTTTAAGGTAGCGATAATTGTAGTTTTTAGTTGTTGCAAATTCCCACTTCTATCCCTGGTTATTCCCCCTGCAGTAAGTTTGGAGCTAAAACAGCGAGTTTGGCATTTGGAGCAGTGAGAACTGTAAAAAAATGTCTTTGGGAAAGTAATGGAGGCTTTGAATTTGGAATGTAGAATTACTGCAAGGCCATTTGAATAAGAATGCATAAAGTAAGAATTTTTTACAACGATAAATTTATTTTTGTTTAAAAGCTTGGCACTTAGTGGAAAATAGTTTTTGTTATAACAAAAGTAAATTTTTACTTTATTCTATTTATTATTTGCCTCTGAAAGTCCAAAGAGGAGCTTGGCGCACCGTTTAAGGTGTTGCTGGTGATCAAGAGGTTAAAATTCTTTGAGTCTTGGGAGTCGCCTCTAGTCAAAATTAAAAGAAAACTTACTCCTTACACACCTCACCTTGTGGGGATGCCAATGTCCACTGAGCTGCCCTTTTTTATAGAATATACTCTTTGCGTCCCATTTGTTTCTCATATTTTTCCATTTTTTATAGAATATACTCTGCCCTTACCCCACCGTAGGTGGGAGCCTTTGTGGCACTGGGGTAAATGAAAATGATGATGATTTTTCCATTTTTTGTTCGTCCCATAATGTTTGTCCATTATCACATGTGGTCACTTGTGCGGTTCAAAACCATCTACAGGATATACAGCATTGATTTCCATCACTTAAACTTGTGTGGTGAGCTTGGCTCATTATGCTCTCATTGTATTGGCTCGTTACAAAAAAGGGTTTAAACATCACCACTTTGTGCAGGGTTTGGTGACTATGAAATTTTTTATGCGGTGAAAGATATCAGAGACGAAAATGGTGATGAAACATTGTCATGAAACAGTAGAATGGTGAAGATTAAGGCTCAGTTGAACTGCTTTGAAGAAGGCCCCGTCCGATTAGAAAACAGTCTGTCATTTCCACCATTGCTTATGGCAGAAAATGTAATGAAATATCATGAGCTCCGTTACCCTTTGGGTTTTGAAAGAGAGTATATGACATATTGCATCACTTTATTTCATTTACTAGTTTGCTGTCATCCTTCGTCCAAGTGCCTATAGATCCTCTAATGAAACTAATAGATCCTCTCAATGTCGGTAGAAGAGCTCACTGTGTTTCACATTAACCATAGTTTAAAAAATCAAATTAACAGTAAAAGAATTTTATGTAAAACATAACTTACTTTAATCAAATTAACAGTTTTTCTAAAGAGGTGATGATTCTTTTTACTATGAAAAGAGAAAACTGATAAGAATCCGAAACTGGATAGGCCAAAAGGACAACAAGAAGTGAGTAAAGAATCAAGAAGTGAACTTTTTATAATACGTAGTAATGTAGTATAAACTACTCCATTATGAGTAGTATAATAAATGGTCAAAACGTTGTCCAGAACTATTATGAGTTGTTTCAAAGGAGATTCATTTGTCATATCGTTACTTCGTTACCTTAGATTAGGCATGGATCGGGCCCGGGCCGGGACCTAGGATGGGTCGGGGCAGGACTGGGGTTTTAGGATGAAGGCCCGGTACCGGCCTGGGTTGGGACCGGGTCGGGCCGGGCTACCCGGCCGAGTCGGGTCCGGCTATTTTTTTAATATAATTTTGTTTAAAAATTAATTCAACAAGTGCTAAACATTAAAAAGTTGAAGTATATTTATTTGAAATATGAACTACAATTGAGAATTGAGAAAAATTTAAAACATTAAATACATTTCCTAATAATCAGTCTGAATCTCTCGCACTATCAGTTGTTGTTTCCTTCATGAAGTGGCGGATGCGGGTGATGCTAACTTCTTGAGTTCTACGTTGGGCCTTCAACCAATCGTGGAAGCAAACAAGCGTTTCAAGAGATTTTGCACTCAATCTCGTTCTATAATCCGTTAGGACGTTGCCGACCGCACTAAATTTTTGTTCCACGGCAATCGTTGATACCGGTATTGATAGCATTTGTTTAGCCATCTTTGATAAAGTCGGGAACGTCCTTTCGTTGTCCTTCCATCACTGCCAAATGTCAAAGTCATCCCCTTCTGCATAGTCAACAAAAAACGTTAGATACAAAGAAAGCTCGTTAATCGAGCTTTGTACAACAGCGGGAGTAACGTTGATTTACTTTTTTTTTATAAGATTGCCAAATGTAGATTTCAAAAATGTTTTTCCTTTAGATGAAGAAAATGTTCTAGTCAGGGGAGGGGGTGTGTTACCATATTGTGCATGAAACTCATTATATCATTGATGAAATAAGTTACTAACCTCGTCGTTGTATTGCTCTTTCGGATCTATGGGCTTATCTTTGTACATAGGTAATGGACCAAAAAAACAAGCATAATAGTACTCTAAACAATTTTGAAAAACATTAAGTTCGAAACGAGGAACAAGAATAAATGCAATACCATATATATGCGGAATATGTGAATAATATTTTGAAAACTTTTCTTTCATGAAAGAACAGAAATAATGAACGTAAGAGGCAGTTTCAAATTCAGAAAAAGCACTGGTGAGATTAACAACTTCAACATAAAAATTGTTTGCGGTACGTTTATAAACATGACTAAAAGTTTGAGTTGCATTATTCAAATATACCAAAACAATTTTTTGCATAGTGTCCCCGGATTTATAATATAGTTAGCATATTCTTTTTTAAAAAGTAGGAAAATGGTCTTTAAATTTAATAAGTACAACAATAAAGTTATAAGTACTATTCCAACGAATAGACAAATCTTTAGGAAATTGACAATATTTCACACGTCTAACCCTCAAATATTCATGTCATTGCATTTTAAGTTGATTACTAGCCCAAACTACTCTAATTCCCCCCTTCACTGTCTCCATAGCATCTCCTAATGCGGCTAGACCGTCTTTTACACATACATTAAGAATATGACATGCACAACGTTGATGAAAAACCTACCCATCAAAGATCACACAATTCACACAATCTAGGTATTGCAGCCATAGTATTACTAGCATTATCAAAACTCATGACAAACACCTTATCAATCAAATTATACTCAATTAAAATACGCTCAATAAGAATATAAATATTAGGGAAAATGGTCAAATAGACCCTCGAACTAACTTAAAAAGTGCTAATTACCCTTTATATAGGAGGCTCTGTCTGGCCGTCGCCATTTGGGGCAGTTACCGGTGGAATTTTTTGATGAAATGTTTTTAGAATCTTCTTCATTAAGTCTAGTTTACCCATACCAAATTTCAGATAAAAATGCAAGCGGGAAGAAAGTCAAATGATTTTCTGAAATGTACTGCGTTGTTGAACTGCGCAATTATCTTCAAAAAATCATTTGACTGCCTTCCTGGTTGAATTTTTAGCTGAAATTTGGTATGAGTAAACTAGACTTAATGAAAAAGATGATAAAAAAAATTCATCAAAAAATCACACCGGGAACCGCCCCAAATGGCGGAGGCCGGACAGAGCCTCCTATATAAAGGGTGATTTGCACATTTTAAGTTACTTCGAGTGCCTATTTGACCATTTTCCCTAAATATTATTACCGGTGTGTCGGTCATTAAAATCAAGAAAAGCAAGAGCATGTTTATGCATTTTCTAATCATCATCAATATAATATGCAATCACACCCAAATAATACAAATGATGATAAATATCCTCACATATATATATGTATGAAATAAGAATGAATCTGGACCGTTGGATTGTATTATGTGGAACGGAAATGTGCATTTGATGAAACTGAAATGTGTATTACATGATACTGAAATGTGCAAAATAAAAATTTAAACTCAATTGTGCATTGGGTGAAACTCAAATGTGCGGAATAAAATGTACAAAAATAACGTCACATCATACCTTTTATTCTGCACATTTCAGTTTCACCTAGTGCACGTTTCAATTTCACCTAATGCACAATTCAGCTTCACTTAAGCTGAGTGAAGCTTAGGAGAGAAATGAGAACGAATTTGGACCGTTAGATTTGCTTTAAGTGAAATTCAATGTGCATTAGATGAAACTGTAATGTGCATTATGTGAAATTGAAATGAGCAACACAAAGCGTACGTTACAATGTCATTATGTGAAGCTGAATTGTGCATTAGGTGAAATTGAAATGTGCACTAGGTGAAACTGAAATTTGCAGCATAAAAGGTACGATGTGATGTTATTTTTCTACATTTTATTCCGCACATTTCAGTTTCACCTAATGCACAATTGAGTTTGAATTTTTATTCTGCACATTTCAGTATCATATAATACACATGTCAGTTTCATCAAATGCACATTTCCGTTCCACATATATATACATACATATATATATAAGGTTTTGGTTCAAATAAGAACATGATCTTAGGAGAGAAATGAGAACGAATCTGAACCATTAGATTTCTTTTTGAAACGTGCACTAGGTGAAACTGAAATGTGCAGAATAAAAGGTATGATGTGACGTTATCTTAGGAATAAGAACATAAGATATATATATATATATATATATATATATATATATATATATATATATATATATCACTACAAATACTAACACGCCCATCAAAGTTTGTGATTTTTTTAATCTATCCTTTTCCAAAACATATTTCCGTATAACTTCTTTTTTAACAGTTTTGCGACTATAATTTCTAAATTGAGGATTTAAAGAACCTTGAACATAAGCTTTCAAATGAGAATGTAACAAATAAAGGTGACCAAATGAGAAAGTGTAACTAATATATAATATAAGGTCTATAGTATATCATATATAAGTATGCTACTATAAGATAAGTAGTACACTTATATTTAATACTTTAATATATATACTTAAGCTAATATATGTAATATATTATATACTCCGTACTATAAGATGATATATTTGTATTAATTAGATGTAATACATGTAAATACTAGTATAAGTTAATAACAAGTACTCCGTATATAATAAGTACGTAGATATTAAGTAGATAATAAGTATGTATTAAGTAGTAATAAATATAACTAAATATAAATATATTTAGTATAAGTAGATATAATATATGTATTCATAAGTAGTTAATAAGTATATAAGTAGATATATTAATTGTATAACTAATATATAATATAATGTTTATAGTATATAATATATAAGTATACTACTAGAAGATGAATAGTACACTTGTATATAGGGAAAGTTCCCGAAATAGGACTAAAACCGTTTTAAAACAGTTAAAACAGTTTTAACTAGATGTAATATATATATATGTAAATATAAGTAATTAACAAGTATATAAAGAGTATATATTTATATATAATATTTGTACTCATAAGTAGATAATAAGCATATAAGTAGATATATTAATTGTATGACTAATTTATAATATAATGTTTATAGTATATAATATATAAGTATACTACTATAAGATGAGTAGTACACTTATATTTAATACTTTAATATATGTACTTAATATATTAACTAGATGGAATATATGTAAATATAAGTAAATAACAAGTATATAATAAGTATATATTTATATATATCATAACTATTTAAATTAGTTATACGATTATTATATCTACTTATATACTTATTATCTAGTTATAAATACATATATTATATATACTTAATATATACTTATTATAAGTAGATATAATATATGTATTTATAAGTAGATAATAAGTGTATAAGTAGATATAATAATTAATCGTATAACTAATTTAAATAGATACGATATACTGTGTATATTAATAGGTGTAAAGAGAGAATTGGAGAAAATTAAGATGAAGATGATTAGAGAGTATTAGAGAGTAAGAATAATTGGAGAATAGGTGTAGGAAAACGTTTAGAAAATAGAAGTATTTATAGATTTTTTTACACCCACCCCCACCCCCAAATCCCCCAGACCCCCTCAACGGCTATAGAGCCGTTTGGCAACGGCTACAAGGCTGCAAAGCCCTTCAAACCATTTTTTTTAACTTGCCGTTAGGCCCGGACCGATCACGGACCGGCCAGGCCGATCAGCATTTTTCACGACCCGTAGCCCGCCCCCCATATACCCAGGTTGGGCCTGCACAGTACCGTGCTGGGTCGGGTCCTGGGTTGGGCCGACCCATCCCAGTCCATCCCTACCTTAGATTACATTACTTTTTTTTCAAATGTTTTGCATGAGCTTCACATTTTGGAGACTCAAAGTTCTGAGATCTTATTCCAAGTATCCTAATCAACGTGTTAAAGCAGACCTGACTACTTGATTAGTACCTATGATGAATAACAGGCGCTTTGCATGTCGTGTACGTGAGACTACAATTCTACATACGTACGGACTGCTTTAACAAACGAAAAAAATGTTGGTGACAACTCCGGTACCTTTCTAAAAAATGGGGTACCGTACCTACATTTCATTTGATTGGACCACACTATTTTATCATTTTTAATTTAGATTTAAATAATTCAACTGCTACATTCTCATTAGTCCATGTGGACAAAGGTATGGTATCAAATGGGTACCATAGAATCTACCAAAAATGTTTGGTAAATACGGAGTAACAGTCATCTCTGACAAGTACTAGGAAAAATGTTTGAAAATATTACAAACGATAAAAATAACTATGCAATGTAATTTTCTAATCCGATATGTATGTCCTCTTTAAATCCAATCTGATCTAAATTGGTTTGGTAAACTTGTTTTCTATGTGTATTTTACAACTGTCGAAGTCTAAGTCTGATCAAGTTTAGTATGATTTGTTTAAGTTTGGTTTGATAACTTTGATTTGGGGTGAGACTGAAATAAATTCAATTAAAAGCATCCTAATTATTACACTATTACACTATTACATCTTTCTTTAATGTAAGCGGGCAGGTTCTGTAATTAATCATTTTGCGTTTAAAACACTAATATATTTTGCATAATCACAGGACATTGTTAATGCAATTTTAATTGCGCTTCTAAGGATAGATGCATGTAGGATTAATAGCTATATATCTGAAATGTTTTTTATTATGATATTACATCAATTCGATAGTTTTTACTACCTCATGTGAAACTTTGATCTATTATTTAAACTAATATATTTATGAGAAACTTAATAAATTTATACTTTTATAATACGGAGTAGTATTTTAACAAAAAAACGTTTCATCATATCATTTTCATATTATCAATACTATAAAGTATAAATGTATAACTGGTAAAAATTTAACATCATATCGTTGACTTCAAATGTCATATTTTGCTAAATCAAAAAGGATGGGGGAGTATATAAAATATTGTTCCAAAATTATTTTTATTAATATATTCACATATAATAACAGCATATGTACACTTTTTGAGGAAAAGAGAGTAAGATATTATATCATCATTTAAGCGCTTTCAAAACTAAAATTGATAGACATTTAGTGACACCAAATTAAACTATTTGACTATATTTAATATAAAATCTTTTCCAGGCTTAACTATATTATAGATATTGTTATTATAACTTTTTTTTTACCCCGGAAGGCAAACCACCAAAATCAGTGGGGCAGAAGTCGGGGATCAACTGCCAAGATATTATTAAATAAATAACGGATTACAAACAGAGAAGGGGGCCAAACCAAACTTCTCTAAGAAACAAACAAAGCCAACACAATAAAATAAAAGGCAAACAGCAAATTAAACAAAAAACTACTGGATCAATCGTAAGGATGGGAGCCCAAACAAATCCGAGAAGTAAGAATTCCGGGCCTGGGATGGAAGGTCAGCGACCCGTGAATAAACTTTATTACAGCCCATGTACTTCACCGCCAAAAAATAGGCCACCCAGTTCGCCTCTCTTGAAACGACGAAATAGGCAACACCGCTTCCTTTAGATAGATCCAACATACGAGCGACTTCATCGCATCCTCTACCAAACCTGCGTCGCTTGAGATGCTCTACCACTTCCATGGAATCCACTTCAACGAGGAAGTCGCGATAGCCCAGATTGATCACCCAAGAGACTGCGTGGATTAAGGAAGCTAGTCCAGCTTCGAACGCAGAAGCAGCCGAGACCAGGAAAGAGGAGGCAATAATCATCTGGCCTGAATCAGCTCTCAAAATGGCACCCCCAGCAGCGCGACTAGGTAAATAGCTTGCATCTACATTTAATTTAAGAGAACCAATAGGTTTCTTCCAAATGATTGCTTTTACTGTCGGCCTGAGTAACCTGAAATCCTTAGTAATCAACTGTTCTTCATATAAGATTTCACCCACCTTGGAAAGTTTCATAGATTTAATGGAGGTAATCCAAGTTTGAGTAAACAATTTGACTTGTGTAATTAATGTTGCCGGAGTAGGTTTTGTAGCTTCTGAACCCCAAACCAGTGAAGAGTAAGACTTCCAGATATACCAACCAATTATACCAGGCAGACAATGTTTAAAAACATCATCAAGTGTTTTAGAGCCAGCTTTGAACCACCAGGAGATGTATATTTGTCTAATTGATTTTGTCTGTGAAAGAATAGGAACCCCCAGGATACCCATAAAATATTCCCACACAGGTCTGGTTTTAGAGCAACTATAGAACACATGATCAGCAGAGTCAGAATGACTTCTGCAAAAAGGGCAAATGGATGGGTTGAGTAAGACATGAAATCTGGCAAAATTATCAGGAATAGGAAGAATACCATTTAGTAACCTCCACTGAAATAGTTTGATCTGTAATGGAAGCTTAGGGTGCCATAAATGTTGAGCAGAAAAAGTAATAGGTAGTTCATCTCTAACCTCATCATAAGCAGATTTAAGAGTAAAAATGCCATTAGCATTTGGCTCCCAACATACAATGCCATCAATGTTTTCAGTACAAATAGATAAAGCCAGTCCATCAACTGAGCAAATTCTTCTCCAAATTGGAGAATCAGAGACTTTAGGAATCATATTTTGCCCGGGATATCTAGCTCTTTTAAAACTGGCCCAAAGAGAGTCACTGACCTTCCACTTCCACCAAAGTTTTAGAGTGAAAGCCTTTTCAAAGTCAGAAAGGTGTCTAATACCTATTCCCTCCTCGTCAGTTGGGTAGTAAAGTTTGGACCATTTAATCCAATGGTATTTCTGTTTTTCATTGGAGGAACCCCAAAAAAACAAGCCAATTTCTTATCAATGATACTGATAACCTTCTTAGGCAGCTTATCAGCTGCCAATATATGAACAGGTATAGTATTTAGGACATGTTTTATCAAAATCAGGCTGCCTGCCATAGAGAGATGATTATGCTTCCAAGTAGAGAGTTTCTGATCAAATTTATGGATTAAGTTTATGCAATAGCTAACTCTGTTCATGCCTTTGTGTAGGGGAACCCTCAAATACTTTATGGGAAGGTCAACCTCTTGCATTCCAAGGATGTTGGAGATCAGTCCAGATCTAGCTTTTCTGCCACACAAGAAAGAGCTCTTCTGCAGATTGATGGTTTGACCAGATGCCTTTTGGTAAGAAATTAAAAATTTATTGAAATTGATCAAAGATCTAGCTCCTCCATTTAAGAAAATCAATAAATCGTCTGCATAATCTAAATGAGATATAGAATAGCCATATGCCCCCATCCAGTACTGCTTTATAGAGCCATTTGCCATATGTCATTTAATTCCCCTGGAAAAAGCTTTTGAAGCAAGAATAAATAAGAAATGGGACAAAGGATCACCTTGCTTGACCCCTCTTTTAGGTTGGAAAAAATCATGATGCACCCCATTTACAAGAACAGACAGATAGGTTGATTGCAAATTATTCATAATAACCTGAATAAAATTGGGAGAGGCCAAATTCTTCAAAATATCAGAAATGAATTTCCATGATAACTTGTCAAAGGCTTTGGCCATATCAAGCTTAACCATAACATTAGAACCTCTCACCTTTTTATTCAGAGAGTGTACCATCTCCTGGGCAATTAGTATATGGTCCACCATGTCCTTGTTTTTCATGAAACCAATTTGCTCAGGAGAAATAATTTTAGGAAGAATCATAGATAGCCTATCAGTCAGGACCTTTGTGCATACTTTACTAACAAAATTAGAAATACAAATAGGTCTAAATTCTCCAAAGGAGGAGGGGTTAGGCACCTTAGGAATCAGCACAATGAGAATGCTAGATAGAGCTTTAGGAATAGAGATTCCCATAAAAAATTCTTGCACAACTTTCAATAAGTCAGATCTCACTATATGCCAGCATTTTTTGAAAAACTTGCCATTAAAACCATCCGGCCCTGGTGCCCCATTAAGATTAAGATTCCAAACTGCTCTTTTAACTTCCTCTTCTTGTGGTAACTCCATTAACATATTATTATCTGCATCAGTGACCAAGCTAGGAATAAAGTGAAGTACATCATCTGATACAGTGGGTGGAGAGACAGAATAAAGCTTGGAGTAAAAATCAGAGGCAGCCTTCCCAATTTCAGGTAAAGAGGTAATCATCCTTCCAGATTCATCTAGGATAGAGTTAATATTCTGCTTCCGGTGCCTTATTTTCACATAGGAATGAAAATATTTTGTATTAGCATCCCCCTCCTTTAACCATTTGACATGTGCCTTTTGCTTCCAAAATTTTCTTTCTAGGTTAAGCTTGGAGATAAGTAGAGCTCTTTGATGGTTCCACAGTTCTTTATTGACATCAGTAGGGAAGTCTCTAAAATCTCTTTCTGCCTTTTGCACCTGAGCTTCACATCTTTGAATGTCTTCAAAAATATTTCCAAAAGTCTCCTTATTCCATTTTTTAAAATCATTTTTAAGGCATTTAAGCTTATACATGAATCCTCTCATTCCCCCTCCACTTAAGCTCTTATTCCAGCTTGATTGTATTGTATCAATAAATGTAGAATGATTCACCCACATGTTCTGAAATTTAAATGATTTAGCTGCACTGATCTCCTCACTAGCACATTTGATAAGAATAGGGGTATGATCAGAGGGGGTTTTGTCAAGAATCTCAATGTGGATCTGTCTAAAGAGATCATTCCACTTATCATTAAATAAGTACCTATCCAGCCTCCTCTAGACCCATCCATTTGCCCTCACACCAGCCCAAGTGAATATAGGACCATAGAAATTGGGTTCAATTAGGTCACAGTCAGCCACACAGTTGGAAAATTCCAACATACTATTGAGATGAGGAGTGGCCCTTCCCTGGTGTTCACTGTGGTTGAGAATTGCATTAAAGTCCCCCCCTATGAGCCAGGGGACATGTATATTCCTTGATAAGGACACTAGAGCCTCCCATAAGTCTCTTCTAGCAATATAATTGTGCTTACCATATACCACAGTAAACCATCCTTCCACATTTCCTCTTCTGAATTTCAAGTGAGTAAATTGATCATGATAAAAGATGTCAGAAATATCCACCTCAGTAGGGTCCCAGAATATCCAAATCTTATTACAAGTAGAGGAAAGAGAGTTAGTAAAACCTAAATCATATTTGAAAGAATCAGCTTTAGAAGAGTCCAAAATTGTCTTAATAATGGCAAGAATCTGAATCTGCCATTGCTTAGTTAAAGATATTAACCTAGCTCTGGCAGATTCCACCTCTCTAACATTCCAGAATAGACAATTCATTGAGATGGGTTTAGAGAATTTTGAGAAGCCAGCTTACTGTCCAATTGTACAGAAACTGACACAATTGATCCCTCTTTCTTTCTTGTTGCATTCTTGATAATCCTGGGGGTTACCTGTGACTCCTTTCTTTTATTTCTCTTATGAATAACATTAGGTCCTCCACTGTCCACTAGGATGCTGACTATGAAATGCATATGGACTTTTAGAAGCAAATTATTCATTTTAAACTTACATTATTCTAATGTAATTGTACAACGTTGTAAACATATATACAACGTTGTTGTGTATACTCCTTATATGTTATGCCTATTTATGTTATTTAACAATAATTTAAGGTTTACGATGTTTTTTTTGAATTAAAATTTGCTGGTCTGGTCTGGTTTGTTTAAGTCTAGTGTGGTCTGATTTGAACTAGTCTGGTCTGATGCAGTATATATTTGATTTCTGTGTATTTAATAACTATGAAAGTCTGATCTGATCTAATCTGTTTAAGTCAGGTTATATGGTTTGTTTAAAATTGGTTTGATCTGAGACGGAAAAAAGTTCAAAAGAAAACATCCTTACTAGTTTCCAAACACCCTCTTTTAAGAATATAAAAGTCAATTAATGTCTAATAGCCTTGCTTGATAACCATCTTTAAATTTAAATTTGATGTTATTAGTTGTCCTTATTTAGCCTGCTCGTTTTTTCGCAGACTCATCTCATGCTCTCCTATTATGTATCTTACTTCATCAATAAATGGGTAAGGTCAGCAAGGTATTCCCCAACTTTTGCCCCATCTTTGGATGTTTAGCCAATGAATTAAAAGAAAAAAGAAAAACACATGCTTGATATTTTACAAAATCTAGCATCTTTTGTGTCAAGCTCTACAAAAGAGACTATCATCCTAAACTTATAAATTGAACATCCAGAATCCTAGATCAATCATCAATGAGCCTTCTACTATATTTTGTTGAAACCAAAACTTTGATCACTTTTACGTTAACAATAATTAAGACCAAAACGATTCTAAACAATTTTATTTTTTGTTTTAAACAAATTAAATTCAAGAAATAAACTAATTTTGAAAAAGAAAATTAAGAGGGAGGTATTTGCATACTAACAAACCTTGTTAACATACTAAATGTTGTTTAATTCAATATTCTTCGAAATCTAAATGCGCTACATACTAACACAGATACATGTTGACATTCTCCTCACTTTCTTGTGAGATGAATTTAAAAAATTACCAATTTACCAGACATGAGGGGAGAAACTTAATTTGTGCCAGAACCGCCCTTCAAAATGCACACTATATACTACAAACCAAAAAAGAGCAAAAAGAGAGATATTCCATCTATGCATTATCTGCTCCCCATGTCCACCTAAATGAGCTTCAAGATCAATAGCTCACTCTCTATTATATATAGATGAGCAAGTGCTTATATTCTCATAATATGAGGACGATGGATATGGCGAAAGAAAATTGTCAAACTCAATACCGCCCTTGTTGCTACGGCGGTATTCATCCCATGACACCAAAGTCTCTGGTGGCATTGCGTCGCCTTCCAAGTATTTTGCCACCCGCCTCATAGTAGGCCTCTCGGTTGGAGAATTATGGGAACACATTAGCCCTAGTTTAATCACAAGCACAACTTCATCCACATTGTAATCCCCACCACCTCTCATTCTTGGATCAACCACTTCAAGAATCTTGCCTTCCTTCCACTTCTCCCAAACCCAATCCACCAAAATCATCTCCTCAGGTAGCGCTTTCCGCTCTATAGGCCTCCTCCCACACACGATTTCAAGAAGTAACGCGCCAAACGCGAAAACGTCCGAGCATGTACTAGGTTTTCCAGTTTTTGTTAGCTCGGGAGCTAAATAACCCAATGTGCCCACAACCCGAGTGGTCCCGGGATTCTCGCCACGCTCTATTAACTTTGCCAGCCCGAAATCCCCGAGCCGCCCATTCATATCCGAGTCCAACAACACATTCCCAGCTTTGATGTCTCTATGAATAACTGTCTGCTCCCACTCTTCGTGCAAATATAAAAGCCCAGAAGCTACACCCTTTATGATCTTAAACCTCTCCTCCCAACTTAATATTGCCTTTGGTTCTCCGAAAAGGTACTTGTCTAAGCTCCCATTAGGCATGAAGTCATAAACAAGTAGAAGATCACCCCGTCTTCGACACCAACCTAGCAATTGAACTAGATTCCTATGCCTAAGTCGGCCAATGCTCGCAATTTCAGACAGAAATTCCCTCAGACCTTGTTTGGCATCATGGTTTATCAGCTTAACCGCTACTTGGTCTCCGGAATTAGGAAAAATTCCTTTATAGACCTTCCCGAACCCGCCAAATCCGAGCAGGTCTTTGTCTCTGAACCCTCTTGTTGCTATCTTGAGCTCTTGGTAATCAAACCTATGAGGACCTACTTCAAGTTCCCAAGGCTCAACCACATCCATGTCCTTGGTTCGACAAACTAAGTATGTAACAATCAGAGAGGCCGTTGAAATAAAAGCTAGTGATAATAAAGAAACGCTTAAGATCATAGCCATATAATGACTCTTTTTGGGATGAGGGGGCAAAGAAGGAAGTGAAGATAGATCTAAAGATTGGGATGTTCCATTAATCTTGAAACTCCATCCATAGATGTAGTGAGAGCTGGCAAGTAAACCAGTTGAAGCAGAGAAGCCAACAAACATATTCTCCTCAAGAATCGGAGAGAGGTCAAGAGGAAATGAGAGGATTGAAAATTTGGGTTTTTCAGAAGAAAGTGAGAGTGCTACATTCAATTCATTCTTGGATGAATCATAGTCAATCCAAGCTTGGATTTTCATTCCACTCTGGAGACTAACCGTAGCATTTGCAGAGGCATTAGAAACCAAACTATTGATATCAACACCTACATGGTTTTCACTAATATCTCCAAACTCTAAATTTTGAACCGTGTCAAACTCAACAGCAAACAAATGGTTTGAGAATTTCCCGAGATTCGTTGAGTTCATAAGACCCAGGAACTGGCTTGGGAGAACCCCGTCCATACCTTGGGTTCTTGAGATCACAAAAGCTAACCCATGGCCGCCATAGTTTACGATCTCGGGAACAATCCCAAAAGCAAAAGCAGTGGAAAAGGTGAAAGCTTTCCCAGAAATAGAATTCTTGAAATTTATCGGCTTTGAATAGAAAGCATGACCGAATAGCTTAGACTTGTCTCCGGTGAGCTTGAGGACGCCATTTCTCTCAATCTCAGCAACCCCATCTAGAATAATGGTGTCACCTGTAAACCCACTGTAAACAAAGTCGTCACCAGTAGAAAAAATGATTCTTGAAACCCAGGCGAAAAGGAAGAAGAAGATTGACAATATTTTTGCCATGGCAGGGGTGTCATGGCCTGATGTTGTGTGGGAAAGGATTGGTGGGTCTTGCCATTTTCTCAAAGATTGTGATTATGCGGTGCTTGGTGGGCGATCCAGTTGGGAGGATAGAGACAGGGTGATGGATGTCACTTGTAAGTGGGGACTTTTTTAAGAATAAAGGGTTAAGGGTATATGAAAGAGGAAGTTTGGCGAGTAAATTGCACAGCTCTGAGGTAGGATTGTAGGAACTTGGAATCGGAGTCGAAGTAAACTAAAAATTGAAGAGAGAATTCCAAAACAGGGAGAAAACAAGGAAAATATTCCAAAATAGGAGTCCTATCAATTACTTATGTTTCACGCGTAAGTTTTAATAGAACTGACCAAAGTACCCTTAATGATGAAAGATTGATTTTTTTATTTATTAGCGGATACGGAGGTATAAAACAAATTACAATTATACAGCCTGTTCTCAACACATCACCGCACCAGATCTGCTGCTGGACCATCACCTCTTGTTCAACCACCACCGGCCGCCACCGTTGCCGGCTGCCGGCTGTCGACTGCCACCGCCGGCGTCGACTAAACTGCCGCCACTGTCAAGCACTTCTTCATCTGCTGTCGTTGTCCTCTATTTGCGTGGTCTTCCATCGCCGCCACACACCATCCTCTTGGATTGCCGCCATATGCTTCGCCACCACCGCCAATTCTTCTAGTGTGCTTGCTTCCATATCTGTCCAGTTAGTTGCAGATCTCCTACCAGATAAATTATTACCATCGTCATTAAATATTATTTAATGTCATTTTAAAATCACAATGCTATTTTGTAAAAAAAAATACATGACATTAATTTCCAAAATCTCATTTTTTTAGAATGAAAACATGGCATTATAACTGATATAAGAGCACTAATTGTCAAAATGACATCATCCTTGTAATGACACAAATTGCCAATATATGATTTTTTTTAAGAATGGAAACATGGTATTACAACTTATTTATAGTTTGAAGACTAATTTAAAATAATTTTGCCATTTTTGAAAAATAAACAGTTTTATATATACTCCGTATTTCAGATTGAAAATAACGAGAAATATTTTAAATCTTTTTTTAAACATAAAAATGCGAAAAAATAAAAAAATTAATATCCAAAATTTTTGGATCTAAAATAGCATTTTTTGTTTTGAATCTCAAAATTAAACAAATGAAACAATTGAAAATAGAAAATAAATCAAGAGAAGAAAAATAGAGGAACTAGGGTGGGAGAGAAGAAGATGGAGGAGGAGGCTAATATTTATCGGATACGACCATCATAGACCCGCGGTTTGGAGTTACCGCAGATGGCCGGTCTGCCGGAGTCACGATGCAGAAGTGAAACCGATCATCAGCGGAAAAAACTAGGAGAGAAGAATTGGCCGGAGATGGAGAATATATTCTCCGCCTTTGATATCAACGGGAAGGGAAAGGAGATGTGATTATGGGAGAGAAGGGAGAAGCAATTGATGGATGAAAGAAGTGGTGGACAGCACGGCATGCGTGGCTGCAGGGGAGTGCGTGGCGGAGAAAGGAAAAGATAATCATTAATGTAGGGAGGATAAAATTGGAATATTAACTCCTACTTTGGGAATTAAAAGAGTTCCGTCCTACTTTTGCAATTCTATTATGTTTCACTCTTACTTTTGCATTTCTTTAAAATTGAACCTAGAAAGGAGAGGCAGCGGCGAATATGTATTTGAGTTGCATTTTGGGTACATGGATACTTGTCATCTATTCATTTGAAGTCGAAAAATGGGATAATCATTTGAGACGTAATAATTACTCCTCTAAATTAAGATATACTACCTCCTTGGTAAATTTACTCCGTAATTACTAAAAATTGAATTAATTATGCATAGAGAGGTTTGACTTTTTTTATTGATTCACAAAAAAATGTTGACTTTGCAAAACAAATTAGGACGGAAAGAGTACTCCTTTTGTCCCGTTAAGATAGTCTCGTTTTATCTATTCGAGAAATCTCACTATTATTGTCTCATACCAAATTTGGTAAAGTTTGTGTGACTCTAAATTATTTTTATTTTATTCTTATTTTATCGATTTAATATCAACCATATAAACTCACGTTTCTTATAACTGTGTTGATGGATAGTCTACCCGGGGGTATATATCCGAAGGGTTATTACGGGGAGTAATTTAGAGAGAAGTCAGAGCAAGTAAATAAAAGTAGAGAGAGAGAATGTATTATAAATGCGGAGTGTTTTCATCGTGTTATCACTTGGTTACAAATGGGGAAATGGGGTGCTATTTATAGTAGCAATAAATGCCGGGCAGGGACACGTGTCAAGCGCTCATTGGCCGAGGGGTCACCTCAACTGGTTGGCGCTGGCAACCGCATGTGGCCGCATTTAATGCGGCTGTTGGATGGGACGTCTGTGCAGGGTACGGTGATCTGCACGCATGTGAGGCGGATATCTTGTCGAGTGAGATGCCTTCGGCTATAGAGCAGTAGACGAGGGCTCTTCCACCCGATGGTACCCTGGTGCCGAGGGCTCACAGTGCCGAGGGCTACTGTTTTCGCCGTTTTCTCCCAGTTTCTTAATTTGCTTGAGAAACCCGTTCTGTGAGAATTTAGAGCCTTCGGTCGGAGGGCCGAAGGCACCCCTGGCGCGTAGTGCGGGCTACTTGGTACTCTGGGCGCCGTGATTTGGGCCTGTTGGGCCTTTTGGGCCTGTTGGGCCTTTGCTGGAGTAGTAGGAGTCTGTGGGCCGGGGGTTCCCGGGCCATATACTCCATCAGGAGTCCCTCACTCCTTTTGCCGAAAGGTACTTGAGGGAAAAGGAGTAATTTGTGCTTGCCCTTTGATGTTGTCCCGTCGTGATCTCTGAAGTTGGTGAGGAGTTGTTGCTTTTATGTCCCTGCCGAAGGCAGTCCCTCAGTTACCCACATGTCGGGACTTGAGGGCTTGCTTTGTTGTTTGTTGGAATTTCACAGATTTTGTAATTTAATGATTTTCCCGAGGGGGTCCTCCAGTCCCCCACTCCCTGAGGCACTTGTAAAGTGGTGAAAAGGAGTAGAGTAGTTGCGTTGCTATTGCGGGCCGAAGGCTGACACTTTTCGTTTCATTTTGGGGGGATGCCTCGTTAAAAACCTCATTAGGAAAAACCCTTTGGGAAAAAATCCGAATGAGGGAAAAAGAGTGCACCGAATTCCCCCAATGATGAATCGAAAATGTCAAACCTTGGTAAAAAATGGAGAATGGCGGGAATGCCGAAGGTTCTCTCTTCTGAGGGCTCCTGTGTTGATTAGCCGAAGGCTCGCTGTTGATGTCCTGGTGGCACCGAAGGGGAGCCCCTCAATCCAGGGATCGAGGGCCTGCCAGATGAAGGCAGCAGTGGAGTTGTTACCGAGGGGTCCACTGTTTGTTGATTGGTTGGTGATGAAGATACCCGATGGCTCCCATTACCTGTGTGCCGTGGGTCATCCGTCAATGAGGCAACTCCCCGGGGGCTTACCCGGTTTTGCAGTGCTGAGGGGGAATCCCCGAGGGGGTGTCCTGATATGAAGCCCTGGGTTTCTGAAGGAGTGATCCCGAAGGCGTGTGTAATGTGCTGTGTGGGGCACAACCCGGGGGCACTTCTGGGTGAGTGCACCCGGAGGCTATCCTTGATGAAGTGGAGTGAAGTAGAAAACCCGGGGGCTTCCAGAATATAGCCGTTGGAAATATAGCCGTTGGAATATGTAACGACAGGATATAGCCGTTGGAATATGTAACGACAGGATATAGCCGTTGGGGGGGGTGGCACACGTGGCGTGTGATGGCTGGCTGTTCGTGGGCGGCGTCACCGGTTGGGTGAAACGGCGGTGTGTAATGATGGCGGTCCGTCCGGAGGCCCGGAATACAGGCCCAAGCCCGGATTCATCGCCTATAAATACCCCAAGGCCAGAGCCATTTCCCCTGTGCGAACTCAGTTGTTTTAGCGAAGCTCTGCCAAAAAATCTAGTGAGAGAAACTCCAGCCTTCGGTCCTAACTCAGCTTTCGAGGTCAGTGCTCCCTGCCTTTCTCCTTTTAGCATAGTTGTACTGTGCCCTTAGGTTAGGAGATAGAAAAGTTAGGAAACACTACCGTCTACGAGCCCTCGAACTAGAGTGCGAATGTCGTCCCATAGTGATTCTCAAGATATCTCGGGGGCGCCCTCGGTGGAGGATGAAGTCCTCTCGGACGTGGAGTCCTCAAGTGCGGAGTCCTCGGTGGGACAGGATGCCGTCATTGCCCTGGAGTTGCAGAAAGCCCTCGTAGCTGAGGCGGAGGCCGAGGGCTTTGAGCAAGAATGTGAGGACGAAGAGTTGGCCATCGCCTGGCAAGCAGCTGAAGAGGAGGCACAAAAGGAAAGCGAGAGGGTCACCGTTGCTTTGCTCCCCCCTCGGGGTGCCGGGGAGGCCAGCACCTCTCGGCCGCTGAATGCGGTCCCCCTCCGGGTGGCCCCCGGAAAGAAGAAGGCCAAGGCCGCTGTTCCCAAGAAGAAGGGCAGCGTAGCAGATCAAGGTAAGCCCCTCGATATGCCCGAGGGGTACTCCTATCTCAACACCGCCGCATTGGAGATCAAGTCGAAGGTTGATGCGGCGGACATCTATGTCACCCAGCTTCACGTGGGCCCCTCGGCCATCGTGGTGACACCGGGTCCGGATGACGTTCTCTCTCGGGCTCCCGAGGGCTGCATTGCGGTGCACGTCCTCTCAGTATCCATGGGGCTCCGCTTCCCCCTACACCCCTTCCTCCGGGAGTATCTTCGGTTCGTTGGCCTGGTTCCCTGCCAGCTGACCCCGAACAGCCATTCTTATATTACTGGCTTCCTTCAGCTCTGTAAGTCCCGGGGGGTGACGCCTAGCCTGGATCTCTTCTTCCAGAGCTTCAACCTGTGCCGGGGGGGCACGCGAATGCCGAGGGATTCGCTAATCTGCAGCAGGTATCCGTGTTCAAACTCTTCACCGAGGCGCCCTCCTCGAACAAGGGGTGGAAGGACCGGTGGTGCTATGTGAAGCTAGCCGAGAGCCCCTTCCCGAGGGAACTGCGTGACCGCTTCAGGAGGCACGAGAAGAGGAGGAGCGCCGCCCTCGAGAAAGATGGCAGGATTCTAGCCATGATTCCGGAGGGCCGGGACAAGAATATCTCCATCAAGGACTGCACCAAAGAAGCAGATCTCTACACCCTCGGGTTCCGACGGTACCGGTTCCTGGGGGAAACTGATGAGAAGTTCCCAGTGTTTGAGGGAGCCTCCGGAGGTAGTAGCTGAGGGCATTCTCACCCTCATCTTAGCACGTTTGTCCATTTGTTTTGTTAATCCTTTATGCCACTTAGTAGTGACCCCTCGATCCTAACCCCTCATTTTTTTTTGCAGGTGTTCCAGTAAGTATGATGAACGTCAAAGGCCTCGCCCGATTCAAGAACAAACCGGCCAAGGATCCGAAGGGGCCGGACGCAGGTGGCCAAAAGCCCGTCGGTGCGCCCCTCAAAAAGCCCGAGGGCGATGCTGCTGCGGCTAAGAGAAAGCCGTCGGCAAAGGAGCCCCCCCAAGCCCCTAAAAAGTTAAAGAAGGGGGATGCCGCGAAGGATGACCCCCCGGTGGTGATTATAGATGACCCTCCGGTGATGCCGACGGCGCAGGTGCCGGGGGTGGTCCGGGAGCCATCTCTCGAGGTCCTCACACTCTCCCTTCCGGCTGGTACGGCCGTGTTGAATGGCACGGCTGACCCGAGGGCGCTCCTGAGAGGTATAACCCTCGATATCGATCGGGCAGCTCTCGGGGCCGATGACGACCAAGCCCTCGAAGACAGGATCCTTCGGTCTTCCCTCACGGTGAGTTCACTGTAGTTTGTCTTTTTGTTTCCCACTTTGAAATAAGAAATCACGTTTGGCCCTGACAACCCGCTTATCTTTGCAGACTTGCGTTGCCCTCGGGGAGCAGTTCCGACGGCTGGAGGAATGGCGCCTCCACAAAGCTAGGCAAGACGCCAAGATGAAGGAGCTGATCCTTAGGGACTCCCAGGCCACGAAGCTGATGGCCCAGCTTGAGGAGGACCTCCGGCTTGCGAGGGCGGAGGCCGAGAGGCTCAGGGAGGAGAAGGCAGAAGCTGAGGCGGCCGCTGCGGAGGCCGTAAGGAGAGCAGCCGAGGAGGCCGAGGCCACCAAGGCGAAGGCTGTCGCCACAGCCCGGGAGGAGGCCATCTCCGGGTTCCTGGACGGGGGGTGGAAGACCGAGGGGCACAAGGCATGGTTGTCTTCGGTTGTTGAGGCCTCGGTTGATGAATGGTCCGAGGGCCCGGTGGAGGAGTGGATGGCCCGGAAGGGTAAGCAATATTATGATGGGGGTGAGTTCTTCACTCAAGCCCTCATCTACCGGAGGATGGCCCGCCATCTGAAGGTTGAGCCGAAGGATTTTGATCCGGCGGCGTACGGGCTCCCCCCCCCCCCCCCCCTCTGCAGCCAGATATCTGTGTCCCTCTCCCCCCTGATGTCGAGAGGCCAGACCTGGAGGATTCCGAGCTCCGAAGGGAAGCCGAGGGCGACGATCCTGAGGCCGATGCAGAAGTTTCCTCGAAGCCATCGGGGGAGGCTGCCCCCGGGAATGACATGATTTGATATGTATTCTGTAATTTGAACAATTTTGTAATAGCTTCGGCCTAATCATTGTAATAACTATATTCACTCTTTGTTGTGATGAATGACTGAATGCCTTCGGGCTTTGTATATATAAATTGCTTTCTCCAATTCCTTCCTTCTTGAATGTATGCCTCCGTTTTCCTTGAGTGTGTGCCTTCGGTATTTT